CAAAGACCACGGCGTCATCCTACGCCAACACCGAAGGGCCAGTTGATGGAATAATCATCACGCCCGAGTCCACCACGCGTGATGAAAGGTCAGTAGGTCAGAGCCCGCATGCCGTTCAACAAACCACCAACACTCAAGAAGGCAATTGAGGTTAATTGTTGCTCTACGTTTGCAGTAATGACTGTATTCTATAAATACTGCAAACTCTTGTGCATACGTTACCCTACCTGCTTCTACTCTCTGAGTATGTCGCTGATGACGAGTCCGCGACGGATCTCGAAACGTCAGGCGAGTCCCAGCCATCGAGTCGTCTTCTTCTCAATTAACAGTTCTGAACAAAACCATCAAGATAACAAGCCTGTGGTACAATGTGCTTGAGCGTTGGACGGCTAGCCAACAGGTCGCAGATTCAAGTCTCGGGTGGTGCGCCACGTGGAATGGAATATGATTGGCTGATGGAAAGTAATAAGCCAGAAATAGCCATTCCAGTCTCCCTTTTTTCGGTAATGCCTTTTCCTGTGTTTTTCTCCCAAAAAAACACGCAAAGGGGATCGACAGGAGCAGTACTTACCTCGTAGAAGTCATTCACAAAGAAGGAGGATGTGCCATCGGCGCGAGTAAAGCTTTTGGGAAATAGTTTTAACCAGGTGTCGTCTCCATAGATCTCCAAACGCTTGCGATTTTCAGCGAGACGTCGAACCCAGGAGTCGTGTACCACCGCCAATGATTCAGTGTTATAGATGGCGTCAAGGAATTCCGACAGTCGGCCCGTAGATATAGCCTAAATGACATTTTCAAAATTAGTGCGTCTGATGGATACAAAAACATTGTCATACCTTAATTCGTGGTGCGGTGACGGTAGGACTTGACAAAGTCGCTGTAGAACACTCGACAATTCCCTGCTGCATAATCTGCTTCAGCATCGGCCAATTATCGGAGTACTTAGGCGATGAGATCATGTCCGAGCGTAGCGCATCAATAACAATTAAAACGATATTTTTCGCCGTCGCACTGTCTTTATGCTTAGCTACAGATGTGGACGGTTAAGAAATTGGCGCGCACAAGTACCTGGATGGTTCGGAAGGTCTACAAAGTTTGAGAACAATCCTGTGATGCATATGTAGAGGGCGAAAATGAATGCTGCGAAACGCAGGCACGCGGAGAAATTTAGGAAAGCCATTGTTTCTGCAAAGGCGCCCACGACGCGCTGGCCTACAAAACAAACTTTTATTGTCAGAAAATCCAGTCCCAACTAACAAGTCTCATTCAAGTTTACATGTATATAACATAGACAGAATAGTTCTACAACACACTGGTAGTTCTAATTCGGCCTTCGGCTTTAAAAAAACTTTCTGACAGGAGATTTTTATGACCTTAAACCATCTGTTTATAAGGCTTGCAAATTATGCAAAATAGTCAGTATCCAGTGCAAAATTGTAAAACAACTGTGACTTTTTCCGCATGACGTAGGTAAATCTGTCACCTTGGGACGGAATGTATACGGCAGGCAGCCGCATACCGGGTACCGCTGAAGACTTGGGCAATAAGAAGTGTCATTTCTGGCTTATTACGGATAAGCAGACGCGATTTCTGGAATAAGAACTTAACTCGTCTGATGCGCCAGACTCTTTATCGAACCGAGCACCAGAGGCAGCAATCAGTACGCTGACGCATACCTATCAAATTGAATAGTTCTCCCTTCGAGAAGAAGACGACTCGATCGCTGGGACAACACTGTTATTCGCCTGACGTTTCGACATCCGTTGATGATTCATCATCAGAAACATAAGCAGAAAGTAGCAGCAGATACGGTTCTCCCTTCACCAACAAATGGTCTCTCCCCGGAGGGGTTATTGCTTAATTGCTGCATGCGAGTCGTTAATCGTTTTCATGCCCTCACTCTTTTTGTTTGTTGGCGTGATTATGACGCGGTCGTTTAGCCCATTGACATGGACACTGTAAACAATGAATATATGTGCTTCGCCGATTGGGTAGAGGAACAATTAAGTTCCGCTCCGACCAGGAGCTCACAATTAGAGTCCGAGCAGGCAGTCACATAGTGACTAATGAGATAGGATGAATTGGAATATTAAACTCGATGACCAAAGGTCCCGGGTTCGAATTTCGGGGGTTCCAATCCTTGAGAATGGGTATGACTGGCTGATGACGACTAACAAGCCAGAAATTGCCATTCCGGTCTGCCTTTCCTTTGTCTGATGCATTTCACTGTATACAATGTTTACCTATGCACTCCTCGCATGGCTAGATGAATTGGAATAATCTAAGACTGTGTATCAGTCCATGACAAAATAATCCGAATACAGATTTCAAATCAACTAGAGTATAGCTTGCTGAAAACGACGTCTAATAAGCCGGAAAAGACCAGTCTAGTAACCCTTGTCTTTTTCGATATTTCTCCTCTATGTATCCTACTGGTCACTATGTCACTGCCTGGGAGGGTGCTAGATTGAGCCGCAAGGTGCAACAAGAAGAGCATTTCTCGAAGCCGATTCAAGGAACACTTGTCGTATGGTTGGCTGGCTAGTAGCTTTTGTTGGATCAGGAGCCCCGCCATAGGGGCCTCAATCCGGCGGCGAGGAGGAGGAGTCGGAGCAGCATACTCATCGTATGG